ATGAGTGATTGTTATATCTCAACTTTTAGTTGTGATAGTTGAGATAGTTGAGTTGAGAAAGTTTTGTCTCAACTTTTAGTTGTGATTGTTGAGATAGTTGAGCTGAGATTGTTTTGTCTCAGCTTTTAGCTTATGTGACATACACAATGCATCTAATCCGACAATACATATATAATATTATACATGCATTCATGACAAAATATCTATTTAACAATTGCAACTTCCAAACGACCCCTTAAAATCTTAAATTAATTTTATCATTTGGATGATTTTTTCCTTAATACGATTATGGTAATATTTGAGATTTAAAGGTATTTGATAATGTCAATCTTTTAGTGGGTTTTTATTTAAAATTTGAATTGAAAGATCGTACGTACTGGCGGTTCGACTATGCTAAATTGATAGGTGATATTTAGCAATATGAAATGGTTGAACCACAGTTAAATTATGATTTTAGTATAAAATACTCTACTACCAAAATTTTTGATACTACTATAATAATTTGGTTCAAACAATTCTTTTACACTGGTGGAAACAAAAATTTTAAGGCACATTTTGAACTATCTATTGCTAAAAAACATAAGTCAGTTAGCGATAATGAGAATATGCGATCTCATTCAACCCAAAAGACACTTTGGAACTTCTATATTTTTAAAATAAATGTATGTTATTTATACGCTTGCTCATTCATCTACTTAATGAGTAACATATATTTCATGTACTATGATTTTCATAGGGTATTTATATATTGACTTATTTCATGAAAAAATATTTGTTGCATGAAAATTACTACATTGTGCTAGACATGTATGAGATCTGAAAATAATTTGGGAAGTCCGTACAAAACACATTGTCCAACCAACTATTAGCGACAATTTAGCATCATGTCCGATATATTTCAAATCAAGCAACTTGAGATTCATTACCAACGGTGCGGTAAAAAAGAATGCTTTCTATTGGGAAAAACTAAAAGGACATACTAAACTCTATGAAAGACATTTTCTTTCATCTTAAAGTTGATTATGTATGTAATATGTATTATGAGAAACAACTCTAATATTCAACTATATGGTTTAATTAAGTAATGAGTGACAATTAGTTTTATTTATTTATTTTTTTCATTCAATAATTATAAGTAATACTTATATTATATTTTTCTCTTTTCATGAAGGTCTAAACACATTATGCATAGTTGGATCACTTTCAAATATGTTATATGCATAACTAAGGTAGAAAACAATCATTTTATGCATTTCAAATCATCTATTATATATCCATTATGATATATCATATTGCTCGACAAAATTCTTCCGGTCGGGCCATGTGCTAGTAACCCACGAGAGAAGTCTGCTAAAGTTCACAAATGAAATTAGCTTTAGCGCGCTATAGAGAGAAGGAAATTTTAGGGGCGTATTGTACGGTACAACAAGGTGGGCAGGAAGGGGGGAAATAAAAAATGGAGCCGACGACACAAGGGAAGCTGGATGGAGAGTGGAGAAGCCTTCACCTGGTTCTACGCCAATACCTCTTCGCCGGAAAACCTAGAAACCACAAATCAAATCACACGATTAGTTCATAGGTACCGACCGTCTCTTCAAAACCAATTGGGTCGTTGGATTGGGGAGTTTTCTTGGTTTCAATTGAGCGGAGGTAGATGAAGAAATATAGAAGTTGACGGCAAGAGCGAGGTTGTTCTCGCTCTGGTGGAGGGACGAGTGCAAGGGGAGGAGGAGCAGTTGGGCTGGAGAAGGAGCGAGCCTCGGCGGCGGGGAGGGCGAGGAGCGACGAGTCAGGGTAGTGTAGGGAAGAAAAAAATATCTGTAATCGTGGATATCCGCCCGAATCGGGTAGGGTAAAACCCGAACTCGAAAGACTTTTAGTGAGTACGGGTAAAACCCGAATATTGCGGGTAATGGGTGTGCATAGTTTTCTCACTATCCAACCCGAACCCGCCCGATTATACACATGCATATGTATTTTGTTTAGAAATAATCATTATTTTTCTCTAACATATATTATATTTAGCATATATAAATATAACATTTTCAGAAACTGTGTTGTTTTAATTAATTTTTTTCGTTCTAGTGAATTATTGTTGTACTTTTCCTCTTATGTAACATGAGAATACGTGTGAATGTTAACATATTGGTTTGAGTTATAAACATAAATTATTATCCGTGGATAACCGTGCATACCCGAAATCTGAACGAGTATGGTCATGGTTTTTATTTTTTACCCGTATCTTCTGTGGGTATGGGTATGGATAAAACCCGAACTAATTTGAGTAGGGTAACAGATATGCACTATCCGCCCACGATTGACCCGACCTGTTGCCCCCCTAGTGTAGTGATTGGGGAGTTCGGAGAGACATTGGAGCTTGTCGACATCATCGACATCAACATCGGAAAACCCTAATTGTAAATCCCCCATCTTCCCTTTCACTTTCCCACCTCGACATGAACGATCTCCCTCAAGACCTCATCGCCAATGTCATCTCCCTCACAAGGCCGCGCGAATCCTGTCGCCTCGCCGTTGTCACCGCCACTTTCTGGTTCGCTTCCCTCTCCGACATCGTCTGGGACCGCGTTTCTCCCCCCAAACTACCTCTCCATTCTCTCCCGAACCGCCAACGATGACAAAGGCTTCGATTCTGACTTGGCCTCCAACAAGGATCTCTTCCTCCGCCTATGCCAACACCCCATTCTCATCAATGGGAATGCTCGCTGCCTGCCTTGTGATGGATTGGAGATTGAGGATTTTCCGACTTGGGAAACATTTTGAGAGAGAGAGAGGCGAATTAGTAGAAAAGAACGAAAGATGAATCGTTTTATTTTTGGTTTTTATTTTATTTTGTTGTTTTGAAATTTTGGATCATTAATATTGTTGAGTTGATATATTAATATTGTTGAGTTGATATATATATTTTAATTCATAAAAAATATCTTTATTTTAATTTTTATTTAATTTTGAAATAAAAATGAGGTGCCAATTACATGGTATCTACGTGGTTGTCATGTGTTTGCCACGTCAGCAAAAGTCAACATCAAGTTGACCACCGTCTAGTCAACCGTTATCTATAACCGTTAACAAAATAGCCAAGACATAAATGACACAGAACTATCATAGTTTGTGACATAAATGTTATATTGAATAGTTCGGGACACAAATGACACTATCTTGATAGTTCGGGTTTTCTAGTGGTATTCGCCCTAAATATTACTGGTATTTGGGTACCCATAACCCGCAAAAAATGAGACGTGTATGGGTATACTCAAATACCTGTTTTCCGTTGCCCATCCCTAGATAATTTCGAGTTGGAAGTTGATAAGGTAATGCAATAGAGGTCGGCCCTTTTAAAACTAAGGTTGACAATTTAATGTACAAGGTTGACCGCTTTAAGATTGAGGTCGACCATTTTTATTGTTTGCTTGCCAAAGAGGTCGACCATTTCATGTACAAGGTTGACCACTTTGTTGAACATACAAAACAGAAACAGTTGATTCGGTCGACCTTTATTACTTTGCAGTCCACTTATTTGTGCAAGTCACGATGACTTGACTTGCAAGTTACCGTAGCAAAGTCCTAACATATAACATTACACCAAAATAACAGTTCGTCCTTAGATCCAACATATGTTGAAAATTCGCAAACCACAAATGTGTGACATCTGTTTTCCTCATAGCGTCCGGCCTGCGGGTTGACAAATTTATTAAAACCTATAACCAAGGTTGTTAAACCCCTATGGGGCCTCGGTTGGACCTGGCCCAACCTTCAAAACGGCCTCTAGAAAGCTCCCAGTCTGTCCCCTATAGAGGGAGAAGAAGAGAGAGGGGGAAGAGAGGAGGGGGAAAGAAGGAAGCGAGGTGTGGGTGGATCATGGAGGTTAGATAGATTTTATTTTGTGGGAAATATGTTTTTAATATATATGTGTAAGATAAATTTTATTTTAGTCATTAAATTTTTAAATTACTACCTTATTTGTATATATATTTAGTAAAAGTATAAAACGACTTAAACTGATCTGGCCCTGATCAGATCAATAAATCTCAAATTCCTACTTAACCGACTCAATAATTTAAACTGGTTTGACAACCTTGCATATAACCTAGTAATTGCTTATATCTTTATGTTGAGTGTCAGTCCTAGTCACAATTTCTCAGTATCTCCTACGCTAACAGAATCGGACAAACTAGCAGAGTTTAATTCATACTCCTATTTCTGACATTTAGGCCCAGGCCCGCATAATCAACTCGACGTATCTAACGTTTCCTTACTCCCACCTATTACAATCTAATACCCGTAGGTTAACAGATTTGCCTAACAAGTCCCCAATCGCCCAAATGACAAGGATAACCTCCATGCCCCTTCAAAATTTCCAAATTACCCAACCGGAGTCCGGAGTTATCTTCCCTCGCTTGTATTGCCTTCGTCTTCGTTAGACCGCCGTTGCATTTTCCCTCGCTCACAGCGACGAGGAAGCGAACCTTCCTACGAGTTACCGGCCGTTAGACGGGTCATATGCTCTACCGTCGTTCCTTTGTTTTTCGTCGGCACCGGAAATTCTTCCTCGATCTACTAATCATTTCTAAACTCTAAACCGTGTGAAACGAATCCCCTCCGTCGTTTCTATTTAAGGAGGGTTAATTCCATGGTTGGTCACTGAGATTACAAAAAACGTTCAAGTTTGGTCACTCGAAATATTTAAATCCATTGGTGGTACTTCAGTTTACTGAAACCGTTCATGTTTGGTCACTCTCCGTCCAACTCCGTTAACTTTTGCTGATGTGACAGTCAACTCAAAAAGTTGACCGTTAACTTAGTGACGTGGCAACTAAAAAATTATTAAAAATAAAAAAATAAACGTTTATATTTTCCACCTCATTATTACATTCATTAAAAAATAAAAAAACTTAATTTCTTTATTTTTTAGAAAACGAGACTTGCGGGAAGCAAACCACGATCCTCCCGTCGGTGGAGGCGTGGATGAAGACGATCCGGCGATGAGGAGGATTGTCGGAGTTTCTGGCGGCGAGGAGGGAAGTTTGGAGAGTGGATGGGTTGCTTGTTGGGTATGTTCAGCGGTCGGAGACAGGGAGACTGACCCACGCGGTGGTTCTGGGAGCTGGACACCTTGTTCCGACGGATCAGCCGGTGAATGCTCAGGCGATGATGGAAGGGTGGATTCTGGAGACGGGGCCTTTTGCTGCTGGTAAAGGTCAACAGCAGCAGCGGGTGATTCTTGATCATTATAGGTGGCAATACTGGTGAAATTCTATACCCAATCCATCCAATGTACCCGCTATGATGAAATAAAATCTATTGACGTTACAACATAATGCTCAAATGTTACTCCCTTCCTCAAATCCATGCTATCAAAATTGAAGGATAATGGCTTCAAAAATCGTTTAGAACAAGGCAACGACTACTAAATAAAGAGGGCAAATGAAGTAGAAAGGAAATGATTTGATTGATCAAGGGCTAGAAGAGTTGTAGTAATATAAATGCACAATATGTGCCTGCCAGCCACTGCCACCAGCCTATGCTGCTCAGAATACTAAAAATGGCTTCTTTACAACTCCCTTCTTTCCATCCCAAGGAATAATACAGACAGATCTATTTCACTACTCCTGCACCTGCTGCTTCTAAAATGGTTGGTCTGTCTCCGTCTGATACCCACTAACTATAAGTTTACCCCAAAGCAAGGATTGGGAAAGAAAAAGAACTACAGTCGTCGCTCGGCGGTCGGAGGAACGAGACCGAGAAAGCGAGCGCCTTCGTCTCGCGTCGGCGCTCGGTGGACGGACGAAGCAAGGAAGGTCGTCCGGCTTCGATTTGAGTCGGCGTCCGAACCGACTGAAGCAGGGAAGAGCGGCGGCTGTTGTTCTTCTTTCTTGTCTCTGGTCGGCGCAAAGCAACAGGGAGGGAAGGTTTCCCAGAACGGCGTTCAAGTAGAAGGAGCTGAGGGGAGGCTGCGTGAGCGATGGCGGCGACGGGAGGATCGTGGTTTGCTTCCTGCAAGTCTTGTTTTCTAAAAAATAAAGAAATTAAGTTTTTTTATTTTTTAATGAATGTTTGTTTTCTAAAAAATAAAGAAATTAAGTTTTTTTATTTTTTAATGAATGTAATAACAGGTGGAAAATATAAAAGTTTATTTTTTTATTTTTAATAATTTTTTAGTTGCCACGTCACTAAGTTAACGGTCAACTTTTTTAGTTGACTGCCACATCAGCAAAAGTTAACGGAGTTGGACGGAGAGTGACCAAACATGAACGGTTTCAGTAAACTGAAGTACCACCAATGGATTTAAATATTTCGAGTGACCAAACTTGAACATTTTTTTAATCTCGGTGACCAACCATGCAATTAACCCTATTTAAGGATAAAGGTTTGTCTAATTTCTTTAACATTTTCTCTAATTATTAATTTGGTTTTTTTATTTCCCACCGAAGATCACTGCCTTCTTTCCTTATCAAATCATCATCAATTCATCCAAAAAAAACAAAAATTATCATCATTAGGATTTATGTTTTGTTTTTACCCAGCCCTAATACTTTTATATATATCAGTTGCAGTCCCACCTCGACCCGGCTTCTCCATTAACGCCCGGAGCTTGGTTTGCATTTAGTTTGGCCCGAGTTCGTGTACATATTTAAATCTTAAAATTTGAGTTACTAAGTATGAATTCTCGGTAGCGCATCAGGTTATATAGATCATATAGATCATGAATTAATCCAAATTTAGAGTACGGTATTATATAATGACTGGAATATAATGATCAGGGATAATATTGACCCTAAAATAATCATAAACCCTTATGCAATTAAGACTCTCATCATTACATCAAGTGATAAAACCCTATACCTTAATTCTTTAAGCCCTAATATGGAGCATATGGTACGCTGGATATATCTCAACAAATCATAATCATCAATAATTATTCTTAGTGTACTTATATTAAGGTTTAATATTTTTAGAATTGTGGTATAGGATTTACTCACTTGAGTCTCTAGTGTAAGTTCATATAGTGATCGCCCATTGCTTTAGCATTGGTGTTGCTGGTTTTTTAGTTTGGCTTGTTGCATTTGGTTCTCTGTTCAATCTCAATAGGTGGTGGAATGCTCTTTCTCTTACTTCTTTGTTTTGTTTTTGGGAACGACAGGGGTGGCCTAGTCCACTTAGTTGTTGTCCCTTTTTCCTCCTCTCTTGGTTTGTTTTTTGTTGTACTTTGGTAGTGGTTCAATTCTTGTGAACCTGTGTTTCTTCTCTCATTTCTTAATAAAATTTATATTGTCATTATCGAAAAAAAATCGTGATCAAGTATCTTCACTAAGAAACTCTCCGAATGTTTTTAGTCAATTAACTATCTTAGTTTATGGGAGAAACAAGTAGGAAGATAAATGATCATCGATCCAAGTCCTCTTGTAGGTGTAGATTTCATAGACATAAGCCCACTAACAAGCACAAAATAGGCAATAGTAGTAACACACATCTTCATAAGTTCAATACAACTGTCATGAATCCAATTTTCCTCACAACTTTCTTGGGAAAGTCCCCACTCGACCTTGTTGTATGTTGTAGTCATGTTCAATTAGGTGGCAGAGAAACCCTTTTTTATATTGTAACATTTATTCACATGATTGAAACATTCAAAAGCTACTATAATATTGTCTATGATTGCCAGTCCCAACACAAAATCACTTTGTTCCTCCGAGATGATGATAGGTAGAATCACCTTTGTATCTGTTTGCTAGGACTTTCAAAACCAACTTGTACAACACTCGAAATCTCGATTTGTATAACTTAATGTACTTTGACCAATATAGATATACACTTATGATCATAGAATCCAAGACTGATCTCATGGATGGGGTGATGTAACACTTTGGTTTTCAAACTTTCGTGCATGTTAGCCTGACTTCACGTAGTATCTAGACCAATCACACGTGAAACTTCGATCAAATTACAATTAGCTTGTTCTTTATAGACAAACACCTTTATCACTGGAGCATACACTGATTTGGTACAAAAAGGCTAACTACCTAGTGTTAATACACGCCATACAAAGACCTTAGCTATCTGCCACTACTATTAACATGTAGAACTCCGATTGAAGCCTAACAAAGTGAGATAGTATTGTATTTGTACGTGGTTCTAACTGTGGGAAGCCGGGTTCTCACCCCCAAATGCTTTATCTCCTTTCTTGTGTCATACAATGAATCATAACCCGGGGTCACAATGATAATCATATTCCTTAATGGGTTCAAATAAGGTTTTATGGATCTAGAAGGAGGAGGTAGGTCATATTTTACACAAACCCGCCCTCTCTCATCAATTCGGTCGTCTGTAATGGTTCGCAGAAGAAAATGCTCAAAGCAGGCGGGCAAGTGGAAAGTTTCTGGTCGTGTGCGTGTACCCTTTATCAAGGCTGCATTCTTTCTTTTTTCGCAATTGGAAAGTTTCCTCTGCTTTACGAGCTTTTCCCGCTCCACTATTTTCCACGCGTCACAAACCCATTCGCTCTTCTCCCTGCCACAGCAAATCAAGCGGCAGCTCGCGGAATTCGAGGAATAAAATCCGATGCAGCAGCAAGAAATTCGCGTCCAACTTCTCAACTATCACATTATACGCTACCGTTTTGGCTTCTGGACGGGGATGGGTGCACCTCGGGAGAAGGGAAGGAGGGATTGTCACGGTCCTGTCACTTGATCATTCTCCTCCAGGAATCTTCTTAATACGAAATGCGTTCACACCTTGACAGGAGCTTAATTAAATCGCCATAACCACATTAATCTCAGCACTGACGATGTTGCCCCCCGGAAAATGCCACGTTCGCTGCTACAACCGGGGGGTAATCCCGTCATATCGGCGTTACTAAACAGGGGAATATTATTTTCGATTTTTTATTTTGGCCTAAAAAATCCATTGACCGGCTAGGATAATGCCACTTTTCTCATTCTCATGGCTTCCACAATTTCAATGTTCTCACCTAACACCACATTCGGCCGTCCATTCCACCCTCCCTTCTTTAATCGCGTACGTCCGTTTCCCAAAACCAATGCCGGCCTCACGATCAATTCGGATCCAACGGCCTGTTTCGAGTTACTAGAACTTTCTTCTCTTTCCTCGACCCGTCGCCCTTGCCCTTTTTATTTCCCATCATCACAGAGCTTGTGTCGTACTCGTGCCAGTCTCAATTCCCGACCTTGTTCATCGCTCATTTCACTTCCATCTGCTCTCCTCTCAACAGGTCCGTTTCTTCCCGCTATTCCCCCGCTCTAGATCTCCTCTAGGCTGATTTCATGCTATTCTGATTCGTTTCGTTTCGTTCTTCGATTTCCTGCTTCCGCTTGTTGTTTCTTTTGTCTCCGATGATCGGATTCCCGGATCTGTCGCCGGACGGCGTTGTGAAATGTGCGGGGATCTTTGATGAGATTCTGTGTGTTTTCGTGTTCGTTCGCCGGCCATCGTTGCGCCGATTTCATTTCCTGAGCGACCGAGGCTCTTTCCGTTTTCTGAATCGAATCTGGTTGTTTCTTTTTGTTTTTGCCCCTTTGCAGACTCTACCGACGACAATGACGAAGAACTACCCAACCGTGAGCGAGGACTACAAGAAGTCCGTCGAGAAGGCCAAGAAGAAGCTAAGAGGCCTGATCGCCGAGAAGAACTGCGCTCCTCTCATGCTCCGTCTCGCGTACGTGTTTCCCGATCCGTTTTGTATGCTGTTTGGATGTAGCCTGTGTGCGATGGGGTTCGTACGTGGCGTTTGTGGTCAGATTGTGATTTGCCGTTCGGTATTGGTTCGTGGTGCAGATGGCACTCAGCAGGGACCTTCGATGTGAAGTCAAAGACTGGTGGCCCATACGGTACCATGAGGTACGCTGCCGAACTGGCCCATGGAGCCAACAATGGGCTGGATATTGCTGTGAGACTCCTTGAGCCCATCAAGGAGCAGTTCCCTAACATCACCTACGCTGATTTCTATCAGGTTGGTCAAATTTTTTTTTTTGTCTTGTTGTGGACGGTGATTGAATTCGGCCAAGTTCTTGTTCGATTTACAAATTGTATCCTGATGCGCGCAGCTTGCTGGTGTTGTTGCCGTCGAGATCACTGGAGGACCTGAAGTTCCATTCCACCCTGGCAGAGAGGTCAGTAACTATTACGTGTATGATTGTTTTGCTATATTGTCTTTAATGGTGAACCCGGGGATTCGCTGCCATTTTAACTCTTGTGGTAAGAGTCGCTTGCTTATTAATGTCGTGGTACTCTCTGGTGACAATTTCCTGTTATGTAACCGTCGTTCGGTTGGTGTTGCTCTGGGGCTGATTTCTCAATGAATCTTGGTCTAGATAGCTTCAATGTGTGGGTGGTAGTTGTGTGAAGAAGTGATAGTGTCATTGAGTGAGAGGTGGTTCCTTTTTATGGCAGTTTAGATCACTATTTGTGCAGAAATGTTACTTAATCACCAATCTGCTTCGTTATCACTGTATACAAAATGTAAAATGTTTTTTTGGCGCCTATTCTGTAATCTTATGCACCAAGTGAGATTTTCTAGTGTTTATGCCGAACCATAGTATCATGCAAGAGTAGTTTGAATAGTCAAGTCTTGAACTCAATTGCTACAGAGTCTAGTGTAAATGCCGAACCATAGTATCATGCAAGAGTAGTTTGAATAGTCAAGTCTTGAACTCAGAAAAATCCTTTAGTTCTTTGCCAACTTGTATTCTCGTATCTGTTCCTGATTGAGTGACCTTCTGCGAGAGCTTTATGACTGGAAGTAGTTGTGAGGGTTCTTGTATCATTTGCGGAAACTGTCTTAGTGTGTTTTTCTGTCTTGGTTTATGCTATAATTGCTCATGTGAACTAAAGTTTGGGACCATTAAACTTTCTTATCTACAGGACAAGCCGCAGCCACCACCAGAGGGCCGTCTCCCCGATGCCACCAAGGGTAAGTTCTTTTGTCAATCGGTGTGTATAGCCTGGCCCAAGTTTAAAACAATTTGCGGTGTGTTAAAGTTATGGGATCTCTGTTATTGCAGGATCTGACCACCTGAGAGATGTCTTCGGCACCATGGGTCTAAGCGATCAAGATATTGTTGCTCTATCTGGTGGCCACACTCTGGTTAGTGCCTCCTTCATGTATATCCAGTCGCCTTTTCTCTGATGCGGTATCTGAGATTTCCATATTGCCAAATGATTTCTCAGGGAAGGTGCCACAAGGAGCGATCTGGGTTTGAAGGACCCTGGACTGCCAACCCTCTTATCTTTGATAACAGCTACTTCAAGTACGTTTCCTTGAAATGCCATTAGTTCTCTTCAATCTGTGGCCTGGTTGTGGAGATGTCTTTTATGCTTATGCTGCTCAAATTTTCAGGGAGCTCCTGAGCGGAGAGAAGGAAGGACTCCTACAGTTGCCGACCGACAAGGCACTGCTCTCTGATCCCGTCTTCCGCCCCCTTGTTGAGAAATATGCTGCGGTGGGTGTTTTCAGAGTTGCGATAATTATTTGCTCCAGACATTAGGGGGATACAATTGGTATCTAATCCATGATTTTTACTGAATGCAGGACGAGGACGCTTTCTTTGCCGACTATTCTGAAGCTCATCTGAAGCTGTCCGAGCTTGGGTAAGCGAATTGAATTCCTTCTTCTCTACGAACTGCGTTGACAATCTTGGGTTGGAACTTGCAAGGTTTGGTGTGTAACTATGGTTGATTTTTGTTCCGTGTCAGATTCGCTGAGGCTTGAGCTGTTAGCGATTTGGTGGATGGTGTAGTGGATGGTGCCAAACAATCTGGGTGCGGGTTTTAGTAGAGGTTTTGAGGGTGGTTTTGATGAATCTAGTGGGCTCTTTTGGGTCTCCTTAGTTTCGGATGTGAGCTGTCTCCATGGAAACATTATGTCCTTATTGAAGACACTCTTGTTTGGTACCAATCGTTTTAGACTTGAATAACAACAATATTCGCATTAGCCTAGTTCATTCCGAAACTATTGTAATATTTTCTTCCGTTGTTTCGTCTTATTCATATCCTGTCATTGTTGCGAGACGGAACTAGGCAAGACTAGTTGGGTTTGGCATTGTTATCGGATCGGTCCCAATCCAGGGGAGGCGGTATCTTTTCTTTGTTAATTGCACGCGCATTTCGATCGTGCTGTTTTTTCTTCCTTATCGTATGGTTGCTGCCGGCCAGGCCTTCGTAGTGAGGTACGAGCCACTTTGTTGCCAAGAAGAGAGTGAGAGAGTGCAGGTGGTGAAGTTCTAATTAGATTTACTCAGGGCATAGCTTTCTGGTTGTTTGGTATTTAAGCGCCCATGCATTTGAATGTTGTTCGTCGAGTACATTGCGTCCTTGTGCTTTACTCTCTACTCAATGAACGATGGGTACATCACTACATCTACTGATCTACATGGACTCAAATATGGGATACTTGCAAAGAAAGTAGTGTGAATGGCTTCAGATGATCTCGTCGCACTTCTTTCATCAGTAAAATAGTTAAAAAACACTGCTTCAAACTTTCACTTCTCTAATTTCGTTGAAATATATGTATGCAATTTAAGAACGCTAATTCCCTCTAACATTCACATTGTATATTTTTGTATGTTTTATCTTACTTTTTGCCCTTTAAAGAGGAGACGATTTCTTCTTGCATGCTCTTCCTTTTGGGGTGATTATAGTAAACTGAGATAATTCTTTAAAGAGGAGACGATTTCTTCTTGCATGTTCTTCTTCCTTTTCCATTACCCGCGGGCGGCCAAGTGTGAAAGAAGGTGGAGTGGATCTATGTGGCGGTGAGTCCCTTTTGACCTGTTATACCGCATGGTCCGCATCCTTGATTTCCCCCATGTGTTACGAATAGTGGACGCGTAAGGTTGGTCAAAACGTACAAATTGGTTACTTAATTTCCATTGGGAAAATCTCAGCCAAAGTAAGTTATATCCTTTGCATAAATACTTATATATTTCTAATTATCTACATGATATACTAGTGTTTCATATGTTCTTTAAAATAGCTATACGGATAAGAAGTCGAACACTCGAGTTGTTGCAGGTTTACTGTTAAGATTTTGGGCTAGTTAAATTTTGATAGTAGATAAATTGATACGTGGTGATCAATACATGTATAATATTATACACGTAATTAAAGAAATTGATGTAGTGTACCTTATATATTTTTTCATTTTTGTGATAATTGTTATAGTGCTTATGTATCGTAACTAATAACTATCCAATCAAACCAACCTTAATTTTTATTGACGAGGTAAGATTGTGATGTTACTACTAGGGCAGAGGCTGGCTGCAAGTGGAGTGAAGTGGGTACGTTTCTCCAATGCTTTGAATCTGGACCAACTATAAATAAATTCTATCAATATTTGACTATCATAGTGCTCACTCACATGTCAATACACTTTTCAAGTATGAACCTCGTTGGACCTAAAAAAAAAATAGCATTTACCGGTTTCCACTGAATGTACCCGTAGGGTTCACTCCAATGAGAACAAACGATACACAAATAAATTATTCCTCGTGTTTCTTATGTGAAAAAAGTTAGAGGGTAGTATAAGATTTGTAATTAATATTTTTTATTCAAACACATTATTTCGATATTAGAATTGGTTTGATCATGTGATTGTGTGTTTGAATTTCTAGGACTCTTAATATTAATAGTTGATTAAAGCACAAGATATGATGGACTTGCGCAAACTTCAAACCTGCAAGTTAACTTTCGTTTGATGGGGCATACAAAAGAGTGGTATAAGATCCATGACTTTCGTTTGACATGACTTGATCTAGTGGTAATATCATTGGTTTGGAAGTCTCAGGTTTCAATCCCACAAGTATCACCTGATTACACTACAAAAAAACTTAATTTTAGAGACAAATAATTAGAGACAACTATAGTATTAGTCTCTCTAGTTAAGCTATTGAGACAATTATATTATTTGTTTCAATTATTCAATATGTCATATTATTTATTTCTGTTTCATAATACTTTTTTATAATAAATATAAAATATATTAAAATAATAGAATTAGATATATTTATTCTATTTGCTACTGTATACTAGATACCTCATCAATATAAAGCATATATAGAGACTGTTGGGGAAGAATGAGTAAGCCCAATAAAGGGGAACACCCAATGGAGTTAGGGCCCGTTAAGAGCCCAAAAAGACATGGGTTCGTTAGAGTCTATGGCAAGGGGGCGCATAACGACAAAAGAGGCTTGTGGACAAGGAAGTACGGCCAAGGAGGGCTTGGGAAATGCCACGCAGGCAAATGGTCCCCCCATGCACATTGGAACGAGCACTGGGAAAGCCATGTATAGGCGCCTAGACGTTGGGTCGTACTAAGCATTTAATGCTTTGCTAACGTAAGGATGAACCACAGAGGCTAGTCGGGAGCTTGTCGGGGGCTCGGCTAGTATAAATAGTGCTCGGTAGGTGGCATTTACGCAGGTTGGCTTCTCTCACTAAAATCTCTCTTAGCACTTATCTCTCTAGAACTTGCACTGACTTGAGCGTTGGAGTGCTAACGGGCACCTAGAGGCCCCCCTAGGCGCTTGTTTGTGCAGGGTTGTGGCGCCCCAACAGTGGTTAGTCCCCATAAGTTCCGAATAGGCGAGACAGGTGGGTTGTGGCTCAAACAATTGGCGCGCCAGGAAGGGGTGAGATCGACTAGACGCATGGAGAACATGAATGAAGGAAATGAAGGGGAGGATAGTCCGAGATCGGAGAGCTCGAACCCCGAGGAGGGCGAGCGTCAGCCGAGTCAGGAGTTGAGTATGGACATAGAAGGAGACGGCATCCATGGGTGCCCGTCGGTGGGTGAAGGGGAATCTTTGACGAAGAGGGAGTTGTTTCAAATCATAGCTGACCAAGATCGGGCCATAGCAGCGCTCAAAAGGGAGCTGGAAGGAGGACGAAGCGAAGACATGATGACATATAGCCCAGGAGTGAGAAAGCGAGAAAGGGCGGGGGAAGACTCGGAGTCCATGCAATACAGATTTCCGCATTATACTGGGCAAGGCGCTGATCTGCCTGGGCGCCCGCGTGCCTGGAGGCTGGCAGCCGAACACATGACGACTGGCCCTGATGAACTTAACGTCTGGGCGCCTAAGCGAATTGCTAGGCGCTTTGGCGTCAGGCAGCCCCTAGCTCGAGGTATCCTGATGGAGCCGGCGGGAACGACGATCCCGTCGTTACCTAGTTACGATGGGGCGGAAGACTCAGAAGATCATTTGAATAGCTATTTCACGAAGATGCAAATGTACAACAGCTCGGATGCTACGTTGTGTAAGGTATTTCCGTCCACGTTTGAGGGGGTGGTCTTGGACTGGTACCATCAAATCGAGGAAGGGCGCATCAAATGTTTTGAGCAATTTGCAGAGCTGTTCTTGTCCAAATTCGCAAGCCGGAAGCGTCGAACGTTGACTATAGGCGCCCTATTCAAGGTGAAGCAGAGGGAAGGCGAAGCACTCAGGGAGTTTTACAATCGTTGGATCTCAGTCGCCATGGCAGTTAAAGACGTCCAGCCAGCGGTGTTGGGAGTTTGCCTGGATGCATGCACTTCGAGCGAAGAGTTGTGCCGAGTCCTTTCTAAGCGAGATGTGGTGTCCACTGAAGACCTAGATCAGAGGGTGCAAAAGGTGATCATGTTGGAGGAAACGCTAACTGCACGGAGGACTGAAAAGAGGCGCATGAGGAGTGAAGAGGTTGACGTAAGGCAGGCGCCAAGACCCATGATGAGAAACGTCGACCCGCAAAGAAGGCCTGAGGCGCCGCGCCCGTTGCCAAGGGGTGCGGTGAATTTCACGGAGTACAATGATACGCTAAAAAATGTGTTGCAATATGTGAAGGATAGGGGCTATCACATACGTTGGCCGGGGCCTATGCGTGGCCAAACAAATGAGAAGAATCTTGACCGGTACTGTGACTTCCATCGGGACAAGGGGCACTACACGGCTGATTGTTACCAACTTAAAGCTGAACTTCAAACCTTGGCCGATAAGGGAATGCTCAATGACTTTGTAAGGAGAGTGGAAGAAAAGACCTATCACACTTACGCAGCGAGGCATGCGCCTATGGCGCCTATGGTCCAGAAGGCACCTGAAGTACCGGTGACTCAGAAGGTGCCCGAGATACCCCCCACCTACTTTTGAAGTGGAGCAAGAAGGAGAACCCAACGGCATCAGGCTCACCGTCGAGTCCATAACCGGCACCCTCGACCTGAGAGAGAAATTGGAGAGAACTAGGCACCTAAGGTACGCCTCGCTGGAGGCAAAGGCGGCGGTACACATACACTTCAACCAAGAACTGGATGAGGCGTGCCAGGTCCCGTCGGAAGAGGCTTTGGAGATACAAGAGGTGATAGCAGGATGCAAGGTGAAAAGAATGTTGGTGGACACCGGTAGTTCGATGGATGTCCTGTTCAAAAGCACGTTTGAGCGCATGCAATTGGTGCCTGAGTTGGTGCGCCCCTCAAACTCTGTGTTAATTGGGTTCTCAGGAGCGCCCGCTCAAGTCATCGGGCGAGTGCGCCTGCCCGTGAATCTCGGTGATGAAGCACATTGAGTGACGCATGCGGTAGAATTTGGAATCGTGGACTGCCCATCACCGTACAACGTGATACTTGGTCGACCACTCTTGGCACAATTCAATGGAGTGGCTTTCACTTGTCACCAAATGCTGAAGTTTGTGGCGCCACAAGGCATAGGCATCTCGCGAGGAAGGAATGTTCCACGATATGCACGAGAGGAGGAACCAAGATGCCGTGTCCGAAAACATAGGCTAAACACCATCGATATTCGCCCCGAGGAGGCGCCCCAAGCAGAGTCAGTGGATGATGAGTTAGTTGTGGCGATAGATGAAGGGCGCCCGGAGAGACAAGTGCGAATATCCGCTCAAGCCCCTGAAGTCATGAGGGTGCCTTTGATAGAACTGCTGCGGGAGTTTGGGGAGTTGTTTGCTTGGAGCGCACAAGACATGCCTGGGGTATCCGCTGAGACAGCGGCGCATAGGCTCGCCGTGGAGGAAGGCAAAAGGCCTGTCCAACGAAAGCGCCGAAATTTTATCCCCCGAAAAAGAGGAGGCGTTTCGTCGTGAAATTGACAGATTACTCGAGGCAGGATTCGTGGAAGAAGCAAGGTACATCACGTGGCTTTCAAATGTTGTGTTTGTCCCAAAGCCGTCGGGAGACTGAAGAATGTGTGTGGACTTCACCAACCTCAACCGGGCGTGTCCTACGGATGCATACCCCATGCCACGCATTGACTTACTTGTAGATGCGACAGCTTACCATGAGGCGCTTAGTTTCCTCGACATGTTCTCAGGCTACCATCAGATCCCCATGGTGGAGGAAGATAGGGCGAAGACGGCCTTCATGACACCCTTTGGTAACTTCTGTGATAGAGTGATGGCGTTTGGGTTAAAGAACGCGGGAGCCACGTACCAGCGCATGGTAAACCAGGTTTTCCGCAAGCAACTAGGAAGGAATGTGGAAGCATACGTGGATGACTTAATCGTGAAAAGCAAGAGGCGCTAGGATCACATCATGGACTTACGAGAAACTTTCGAG